TTGAGAACCGCTGATCTATGGCCTCAAAGTTATGATCTCCTTTGAGGAGGTCAGAGCTGGGCTCTCAGTGAATTGATCAAAGACCCGCTGTTCACATCTTTGTCCACCAGAGGGAGCCTGACTTGGTTTTTTGAGCAGCCAAAAATGGAGCTCCGGGACTTTTCTTGCCAGAAAAAAATGTCACATCAGCAAGTTTCAAACAAATTTTTTTTTCCCTCAGAGTAGCGGAAGACTTTGTTCAACCGTAAAAGAGATAAATCAGGAACTGCTGTGGTTGTGGAAGGTCTCGAACCCTTCTTGCTTAAGGGGGCCACTACCTGAAAAATCATTTCACAGTTGGGCCCAACCAGAGCGTCTGGAATTGGGCAAAGGAGCTCTTTTAAGTGAAAAACCCAAAGACCCTGCTGCTGCCCTAAATTATTGTCACAAGGTTTCTTAAATATGCACAAATGTAATACTGGATATAAACTTACAGCTGGTAGAATTAAAACCCAGGTGCATTTGAATATGACTCGATGTTAATCACGGCTTACTGGTGTGTGTGTGATCCAGATGTGGCTTATTCAGTATTCTCAGCTCATTTGCCTGTTTAAGAGACCTTTCAACTTTCACTTGCATGGAGCCCTTACATTATCTGGCTCTGGTGCCCATACGTGGTTAGTGGTTATATAATGAAGTCTCCTCCCCCACCCCATATTTTTTATTAGCTGGGGACAGTTGACACAGGACTATGGGGTTTGGTGTGATCCTACTCAGGCTCTGGAATTGGTGAGCATTACGGGGTTAGAAGGTGGCCCCTGCCCCATCCAGAATGGGTTCATTGCCATCGGATGCAGGACCACGTTGAAAAACTCCACCAGTGACCACTGGGAATATAACTGCAGACTTGCCTCTCTTGGAGACTGACAGCCCCCTCCCCAGTGCCTCTTGCTGCTGGGCTAAAGAACCCTCTTCAAACCACGCAGGGTCCCATAACCCTGATTGCTAACAAATAAAGTCTGGGGCAGGCCAGTGTGGTGCCCCTGAAGCCTGGGAGATGCTCTGAGTTCCTCTGCACTTTTAAGGACAATGAGAAGCCTTAGGTGTTTCTCTTTGTGTGTGGGTCATCATAACCTGCTGTGTTTCCATGGCCCTGGCTGAGGTTCTGAGCCTCACTTTCTCCCTTCTACACAGCCCTGGGCGACGACGCTAACAGAGGGGATGAGAAGACGCCCAGGAGTGTGGGAGCACTGTACATTGTCCTCCCTATTGGTAAGTCCGCCGGCCCGTCCTCTCCCAGTTCACTGACCTCCCTGCCCAGCCACCTTTTCTCCCAGGAATGGGGTGTCCCCACCGCATGCCCTATTCATCACTGCGCCCCCCCCCCCTTTCTAGCTTCATTCACTTAACAAATCGAGTTGAGCACGTATTGTGTACCAAGCCGCTTATGGGCACTGGGAACACAGCTGTGAAAGAAATAAATACCCCACCCCCTGGGAGCTGACAGTGAGCAAAATGAGACAGCTGATGTGTCAAATGGGGAGATGGGGCTGAGCGCTGAGGTGTGTGTGCAGTGACAGGCACTGTAGGTAAGGCCTGGCTGACACCTGGGGGAGGCAAGGTGAATGGTTCTCTTGCAGGGACCAGTTTGTAGAGCTCCAGTTTTCCTTCCCTCAGCCCTGCCAATCATAGCTCAGGTGAGCATCACATCCCTTTTTTCTCTTCTAAGGAAATCCTTTCGAGGTGTCCCTTCACCACCCAGTCTGCTCACAGATACCTGTATTTTGGCACTTAACAGTCATCTGATTGTGGGTTGACAGATGTGGCAGGTGGGACCCTCACCTCCCTGGTGGCTGCTGAGGGCGGCACCTGCCCTGCATCTTCCGGTAGAGCCTGAGTTTCTCCTGCACCCTGGGCACTGGCCAGGCTCTTACAAACCTGGGCTGTGCCCTGGATCAAGGGGAAGGGGCAGGGAGAGGACAGAGGGTGCCCCCCTGAGGCCCACCAGAAATGATGGGGAAAGCGATCCAGCCCCACCCACGCTGAAACGGAAGAGAGTGAGTTGTGGTCTGGTATATTGAGAACAAGGTCATTTTTTGAAAAAGTAGCCCATGTGTGAGTAATCCTGGAAGAAGAAACCTGGAAAAATCCACACCAGTGGAGAATTTCTTGGGCGAGGTGGTTGCAGTGGTCTTCAAGTGAGAGATTTGTGCTTTATGGATATATATATATATATATATATATATATATATATATATAAAATACAATGTTTTAAATCAAAACAAAACCACTAACAAGTAGAAAAGTGGGAGTATGAAGGCAGCGTCACTCCTTGCTTGGGGCGCGGGGGCACAGAAGACGAGGTCCACATCTGCCACAGCCAGGACGGCTACACCTACCCCTCGGTGAGTACCCTGCCCAGCTCCGGGGCCATGGCTTCTGAGG